AATAAAATAAATAAAATCTTCTTGAGGGTGTGGGTTTGAACAAAAACGTCAAATACTCACACTCACACTCACATTTCATCCATACCCAAACTAACACCCACACCCATCCACACCCACACACACCATAGATCTGCCTACATTTCCGATTTGGAGGCATGATGCAATACAAGAATACGACTTGAATACATCAACTAGACGCTGTGTGAATTTTGAAGGTGGGCATGGGTGTGAATGTATGTGTGATGAAAAAATGAATATACACCCACATCCACACCTACGCCCACCCCATGATGCGAAAAATATTTCGAGCATTTCATAAACAATGAAAACTGGACACGAAATAGTCTTAGTCTGAAAAATCGATGAAATAAAAAAGGATCTATCGCCTACCAAAAAACAATGTTTTTTTAGAATACCGAAAATTAATCGAGTAGAGTTGATAGTTTTTGATTGTAAATTGTAGAGCTTTTTTGCAGCATCTTGTGATATATCCTATTTATAAATAAAATATACTACATAGTCGAAAGATGAAATACAAAAAAAAATATCATTTATTATGATTTACTTATTGTATCACCTTAATTGACTCTACTTTATTTTTATTGCGCCTCTATCTTCACTCTCAAAATGTGAAAACAGCCGTGTGATAATAATGTAATACACTTTCTCGGCTTACCAATCGATCTATATGCACATTAGGATTAAAAGACACCTGTTTCAGCTGTATATATTTTTCATATTTTTAATAGGCATTCTTTTGTGCTATAACTGTAATGTTGTTCTTATGCAGTTTGCTCGTCATTGTGGTCTCTTTGAATAATATCGTCTATGCATGTGATAAAGATCCACATCAAGGTGTTTTAGTTGTTGCTATCGGATCATTTCTTTCAGCAAGCAATGAGCAAGGTGTCAACTAGTCACCATCGGAAACTAAAAGTCAAATGACATTCAATTCGGTAACTTGTCGATATGAAACAGTAATTAATAGATTGCCAACTAATACTAGCTATGAGTGGAAAGTTGCTTATAATGAAAACTGGGGTGGAGATCAAGGATGTAATGGAGATGCTAATTGTCAATTTAACAGTGGTTCTGCTGGTGCAGTACTTCTTATCTATAATCCATTTAGTGGACAACTGACGACAATCTCTATAAGTAGTAGTGAAACAACAGCTCCAGTTGTCTCTACTTCTGCACCATCAGTATGTTCAAATTCATTCAAAGATTGTATAGTTCGAGCATCGGAAGATTATCAAACTGAATTAGGTAGTGCAGCTCCATGGTTCCCTACAGAAGCAAATAGTTTAATGACATTTGATGAAACATCTTGTCTATATTTACTTATTCTTTCTGGTTTGATACCAAATAAATTCTATGAATGGAAAGTTACTTTTGATAATTCATGAT